GTCCTGCTGAGACTTCACCCTCCAGATCCCAATCTAGAAAGTGGTAGAACCTCTGTACCCTTCTCACTATCTCTCTCTCTTTCTATTTACATTTTTTGAATTTTTCATTATTTTCATTTTTTATTTATTCATATTTTTAAAATAAAGTATTTTCTTGGCTCTCTCCTTTTAAGAGAGGCAGAAATTCAGATCTTCTGAGATACTTACTGAACTTGAGCTGTGAGAAATTAGCTTCAGGAGTAAGTCTGACTACTGAAGATTTTCTGCTTAGACTTTACTCTCCATACCACAATCTAGAAAGTGGTAGGACCTCTGTATCCTTTTTGCTGCCCCTCTCTCTCTCTCTCTCTCTTGTTAAATATGTTTAAATATCTCTTGTTCTTTATATTTGTATTTACTTATTTTACTTAAGTAAAATATACCTTGGCTCTCAGCCCCTCCTTACGTTACTACTTCTTCCTTTTCCCCACCTCCCATTTATGAGAGACAGAAACTCAGATATTTTCAGATGGTTACTACCTTGAGCTGTGATAAATTACTTTCAGGAATAAGACTAACTATTGAAGAATTTCTGCTGAGACTTCACACCCCACACCCCAATGTAGAATGTGGTAGGGCCACTGTATACTTCTTGCTGTCTCTCTCTTTCTCTCTCTCTCTGTAAATTATTTTTAACTTTTCTTAGGTATTCTTTTTTAATTTATTCATCTTTTAAAGTAAAGTACTTTCTTGGCTTTCAGCCCCTCCTTTATGTTGCTAATTCTTACCTTTCCCCCCCCCTACTGTTTAGGAGGGCATAAACTCATATCTTCTGAGATACATATTGAACTTGAGCTGTGAAAAATTACTTTAGGAATAAGACTAACTACTGAAGATTTTCTGCTGAGTCTTCATTCTCCATAAGCCAGTCTAGAAAGTGGTAGGCTCTCTGCATCCTTCTCGTTGTCTCTGTCTATCTCTCTTTAAATTCTTTTAATTTTTCTTATTTTTTATTTATTCATTTTTTTAAGTTAAAGTATTTTTTTGGCTCTCACCCCTCCTTTATTTTGCTAATTGCATTTCTTCCCTCACCATTTAGGTGAGGCAGAAATTCAGATCTTCTGGGATGATTACTGAACTTGAGCTGTGAAAATTACCATCAGGAATAAGACTGACTACTGAAGCTTTTTCTGCTGAGACTTCACTCTCCAGACTCCAATCCAGAAAGTGGTTGTTGGCTCTCAGCTCCTCCTTTATGTTGCTAATTCTTGCCTTTTTCTCTACCCATTTAAGAGAAGCAGAAACTCAGATCGTCCAACCTTCTTACTGAACATGAGCTATGAAAAATTCCTCTCAGGAATAAGACTGACTACTGAAGCTTTTCTGCTGAAACTTCACTCTCCACACCCAAACTAGAAAGTGGTAGAGTTTCTGTATAATTCTCGCTGTCTCTGTCTCTCTTTAATTAAAAAAATTTTTTAAATATTTTAATTTACTTATTATATGTAAAGTAAAATATTTATTCGCTCTCAGCCTCTCTATTACGTTGCTAATTCTTGCCTTTCTCCCCTCACATTTAGAAGAGGCAGAAACTCAGATTTTCTGTGATGCTCACTGAACTTGAGCTGTGAAAAATTATCCTTAGGAATAAGACTGATGACTAAAGATTTACTACTGAGACTTCACTTTCCAGACACCAATGTAGAAAGTGGAAGGGCATCTATATCCATCTCATTATCTCTCTCTCTCTCTCTTTATTTTTTGTTATTTTTTTCCTTTTTTCTTTATTTTTTTTTTAAGTTAAAGTAAGGTAAACTCTGGAGAGTGTATGAACCCTACATCAAAAAAAAAAAAAATCTTATTTCCTTTGTAAATTTTCTTTGACCTTAAGTCAAACAATGTTTTTTATCCTTGTTTTATAAAGATAGGTTTTCTGTATATAAAATTCTAGATCTAGATTTTAGAATAAAGGAGAAAGAAGGATGAGCATCCTCCATAAGTCTCCCTTGCCTCCAGTCCTTTAGCCCACTGAATCTTGGGCACTGGTATGCTTTCCTGATGTATTTCAGGCAAACCTGGTCTGCAATTCAAACCATGGTCACCATGTGGGACCCAGCTTCCCCTGAGCAGAACATAATCACTGTGCTACAGAGTCAGCCAGTTATTACTTCTTGCTCACTAAATCAATCAGCATAATGGCATCAATGCAACAAACTATTGTGCTGTCTTGTGAAATGGGAAGGCAACCAAGGTGCCTGCAGACTAAATATAATATAGGGTAACAGGGTTCATTTACCTCTGAGGCAGGACAGTAAAGGTTAAGTTCTGCCCTTGTTACCTTTTCTGAGCTGAAAGATTACTTCTGGTGATATTAAGCAACAGGTAGTAAGGAAAAAGCCCTTGGTAGATCAATAGCTTTATACCCAACACCAGAGATGTTATTTAGTCAAGCAAAGAAATCACATCTGAAATAGCAACTGCAATTGGAATCACAACCTGGTTAAGTTTACTTCCAAAGTAGATGCTGTCCTAGTGGCTTCCACTTGGCTTTTTCTACTAGACAGCTCATTCCATAGGCTGGGAAACCAGTGTAGGAATGGATTCTGCTAGTAGCCGAGTATGTCTCTTCCAATCATGTCTTCGGGAAATGATCACAGGATGGGTCCTGGGACCCACTAGACCCACTGTGAGATGAATATGAGCTAAAATTCCACTGATCACCTGACTTCCATAAGCCCCAGCTCTAACTGATGACCAAGTGATGTTTTAGGTCCTAGAATTAGCACCTCTTCAGAGCCAGGAACCAGTAATCCTCAAAAAGTCTAATTATTTCCTTTCTCCAAATGCATAGTAACCCTAGTAAAACCGCATAAATCTCTTTGGAGACAGAAGAAAGGTTGATAGTACAAATTGCTGTTGGTGCTGGGGTCCAAGAAGACCAGCCTCCGTTTCATTTAAAGGTTCTGGGTCTGTAAATTGACTGAAGTCTCAGAAGTCACTAGGGGACTATAACTTTCTATTTTTAAGTTAGACATTTGTAAACTTGACTTAGAATTTCCACTTACACAGATCAAATACAAATTTAGTAGACATGCCCAGCAGGTGGGATGGTGGTTAAGGCACTGAATTCCCACATGGCTGACCCACAGTGGGAGTCCTGGACCTGGTGGCTTGAAAATCACAGCAGGTATGTGTGCATGCCAAAATCCCAAGAGGTGAATGGAGAAGGGATTGCGGCTTGGCCATCTTCCCAGAGTGATTTCTCACTTTCCCTCTCTCTGTCTCTCTCTAGTGAGTGCATAAACCTTATAGCAAAAAGCCTAAAATAATGCATAAATACATATCAATTTTTAAAAATTTAGTAGACTACTGTCTTAGTTCATTTTTGTGTTGTTAACAGAAATACCTGAGACTGGGTGATTTATAAACACAAAGGTTTATTCAGAATTGATAATGGGGACATGCCTCCCTCTTCACAGCAATAACCTTAATTTTAATCTCTTCCCAAAGGCCCCACCCATTGACACCATAATTAGATCAGGTTTTCACCCTTCTAATTCCATTACAATGGCTTGACACATAAATTTTGGGTCACATATTTAAACTGTAGGAACTGCCTATGTATTCATCTTTTAGGGAAATATGATAATCAATGTCATAGGTTTCTGCAAGTCAGACTGTTCTGACTTTGAAGTCTATTCTGCCTTTTTTCTGCTTATCCACTATGGTAACCACACCTATTTTAATTTATCTTTAGTGACTTGACTCCTGTCACCCGAAGATTTAATTACACCCATTGCAGTTAGGATCCTGGTTCCATGGCAGAAGTTTCCCACTGGAATGTCTAGTTTAGGGAGAAGAGCGAAAGAAGTGCCTTCTGGACAGAGTGAATGGGCAAGTCCTACATGATAAATCCGCTCTAACGTTCCAATCTCCCTGCTATATGGATATATGGACTTCTTTGAGCGGGACAGTTTAAACATTTTTTTTTTCATCCCACGTATCCCACGTATTCTAACTCTGTACAAGGAGAACTTTCGTTTATATCGGTTCCTAGCAAAGACAGGACAGTAACTCCGCCAAGTGCATCAGGCCCACAAAGCCTTACCTGAGATTGC